AGCTCAGAGGAAGGTAAAACACTCATTAAGCATGGTAACAGAAGAGCAACCAGGCTACCCACATGTGGTATATGAATATTTGGAGTGTTTACATGCTTACAATACTTTAGCTCAATTTTGTGAGTGATCATATGGTATCATGGGTAAGGCAGAGCCCTCTGAAGCCATATTGTTTGGATTTGAATATTGATCCAAGTTACACGAACTTGGCAATTTCATTTTTTTCTTTTCTATTTCTTTAACTATGAATCAGAATAATAGTACTATCTCTCTCCACAGAGTTGTGAAGATTAAGTAAGACAATCTAGGGCCAGCCAAATAGCTCAGCAGATTAAAGCACCTGCAAGCAGGTGCAGGGGCCGAGGGTTCGAACCCCAGGCCTGCTCTGCTGGCCCAGCCTCCAGTGGCTGAAACGTGATTGAGACTGGGAGTGGTGGTGTGCACCTGTAATCCCAGCTCTTGAGCGGTTGTAAAGAGGCAGATCACTATGAGTCTGCTCTATTAGTGAGACCCTGAACACCCTGTAGACCCTTCCCTAAAATAAAAACAAATAAATAAAGAAATAAATAAATAAGACAATCTATACAGCAAGCATATAGCAAGTACAACATAAATGTTAGCTACTCAAAATTAGTCTTTCCAGGACTGGCTTTTCTTGGTGGTTTCCCCAGAGAATGAGAAAAGCAATATTGGCCCAAGATAAAAGAGGGAGTAGGCAGAACCAGGTGTGGTAGAAAGAGCCTATGATTGTCCGGAAATTATGCGGGTAGTGTGAATGCTCATTTGACTTGGGAATGACTTGGTCAAAATACCCAAAAATAGTGACTGCCGAGTACCAAATGATGGCCACATATCATGGTATTCCCTCAGTCCCAGCTAAAGCAGAAATGGCTCTGCTAGCGGCTTTGTTCAACAAGAAGCAGTGCTTTGCGCTTAGCAGTCATGATCAGGAAGTGCAGGAAAGTCTTGGACAACTTCAGACAGATGCTGATCCATAAGGTCAGTTTCTCTATTTGATGCCACCGTCTGTCTACATTGAGATTTTCATTAATAATACTGTGAATATGATGACGTTGGAGCCTACAAATGCTCCCTGCTTCAAACTCCATTTCTTAATGTTGCCATGAGAAGCTGTACAGAACTGATTGTTACCTTCCTGCTTAAAAGAAAAAAAAAAAAAAAAACCTTTCAGTGTCTGAAGATAAACTGGAGATGTAGGAAAATACATTTTGTCATGGCATTTAAGGTTTTTAGAGTTTGGTCCTAATGATAATTCTCATTATATTCAGACCATAAAGTTATTAAGTCAATAGGCTGGGGGTTGATCATCTACATCCTTTAGGGATAACTGATAGTTTCCTAGTGTATTACTTGTGCTAACTTCTTTCACATAATTCCATTAGACAGTCCTAACGGACAAGATGTGTGTGCTGCTAATAGGGCAGGAACTTGAGACACCCAGAGTGAATAATCTGTCCAGGGTCTGAAGAAAAAGTTTTTCTAGGCACTTTGTTTTCTGTTCCTTCCCGTGGCTCCATCTCAGTCACTTCCTTCTGAACTCTGCTTTGTGCACTACCATTTTCTGGGGAGCAAGCTCTGCAATATCAGAGATCAGGGAAGGGAGAACTTGGAGGTCACAGAAAAAGGTTCTTAGGTCAAACTTGTTCACTTGTGTTTATTTTGTGCCTTAAAAATCAGATTTAATGTTGACTCTGAATTTTTGGTTTCCCATGAAAGATCTGGAGGTTTGGCAACATTGTGCTCAAGATCCTTTGTTTTCTAATTGGATAGGGCTTTCAATTATGAGCCGTGGGATGGTGATCCTGTCATATGGCACATGCTAAGTGAAGTCAGGCTCACAGTATAGATGGAATACACAACGCCTCCAAGAAGCTTTCTGTGACTGAAAGAAAGAAGGGCCAACTCCCACATGCTGGATAGATAATTGTGCCCAAGTATTTTAGGGAAGGATATGCAGGGTGTTCATGGTCTCACTATGAGACTCGTAGTGATCTGTCTCTTTACAGCCTTTCAAGAGCTGGGATTACAGGTGACGCCACCACGCCCAGTCTCAATCATGTCTCAGATGTCACGACAGCAGCTCCAGATGAGCAGAGGTTGGTCCTTTCAGCCAAGCATAGAGCTTGAGTTCTCTCCAGCATCGATGGCTTCATGGGGCCTGGTCGGCTCCTCTTCCTGCTCCTCTTTGCATTTCTTCTACCCACCTGGACCTATTGAGTATGTTAGCTTGCAACTCTTTGTCTACATAAAAATATGTATACTAATGATTAAATAGTTTAACAGCAGAATTTTAACAGCATAATTTCAGATTTAATATGTGATGTTGTTACTAAAGGCATGTTTTAAAAGCATATATATATTATATATTATATAATATATATATATATATAATGGGTTATGGGCTTGGAATATAGCTCAGTGGTAGTGTTTGCCTAGTAAGTATGATGCTCAGGGATTGATCTCCAATACAATAAGAAAAAAACTGAGTCCCTGAGAGAGTTGATATTGTTTTGGTTTTATTTCTCATTTTTGATAACAGAGCAATTTGACCCAGAACTCTTAGTGACAGTCCTTTTGGATCAAATTCTTTGCAGGGCCTTTTAATTATGAATTGACAGGGTGATTAACTTATAATTCACAAAAATAAATGTGGAAAAAAGAAGTACAGGTCAATTTCTAGCTGTGTTAAACTGTAAGGACAGTACCATTGGCAAGTGATTGCTTCCTTTTAACAGCTTTTCTAATTTTTCTTAATTGGATCCTTTGTTTTCTAATTGGATAGGGTGAACCATCATATGGCTTTCAATTATGAGCCATGGCATGGTGATCCTGTCATATGGCACATGCTAAGTGAAGTCAGGCTCACAGCATATATGGAATACACAACGCCTCCACGAAGCTTTCTGTGTCTGAAAGAAAGAAGGGCCAACTCCCACATGCTGGGTAGATAAAACCATATTGGAAAGGAATTTTCTAAATGACTTTTTCCAGAAAGACTGAGTTGGACTTGTATGCTCATTCTATAGACTTAGATTATGAATTCTGAAAATGCCCCTGAAAGGCAAAATTATGATAGTCTTAGAAAATGTTAAAAAATACCTTTATGAATATTTGCTGACCTACATGGTTCTCAAGATGGCTGATCTTGATGCTTAAGCTCTGATGTCTCCTGGTGATTGCCAACTTGCTTAGATTGAGAAATGCTAAAGAACTTAGTAACTCATACTTCTCTGTGTATCTGTAGGGTGCTTCCACAGACAATCAACTCTTGGGACCGAAAACCAAAGTGAGAGGTCCACCTAACTGTGAGAAACACCACCTAACATGCTGGGGACCTAGATAGAACAAAAGTGAAAAGAGGAGGGGTCTTACCAGCATAGGCTGGTCTCTCTCTCTCTCTCTCTCTCTCTCTCTCTCTCTCTCTCTCTCTCTCTCAAACAACACAAGGTGAGCAGCTTTGCTTTGTCACACACTTCTCCCATGATGCTTTGGGCTTGCCACATGGTTAAAAGACATGGAGCCACCTGACCATGGATTCAGACCTCTGAAACTGAGCCAAAATAAAGCTTTGCTCCATTCATTTATTTCCCACATTTTGTCATAGTGGTAGAAAGCTGATTAACACAGTTCCTGATCTTTTATGGAACTGTTACTAATTCTTTGATGATTTTCTTCCTCACCAGATGGTGAAACTAAGGTTAGGAATTAAAAAAAAGAATATGTGCCTTGTATCATGTATGTGTACTAGTACCTAGAGTTCTGTCTAGCACATGTGCAGATGTGCATGCACCTAACTAGGTGATTTGTTACCTTCTTATGATTTCTCATTGGGGAATATTGATCAGCTTTGTAAAATATACTCTCCTTGTGAACCAGCATAATGTGATTATATTCTAGGCTTTAAAACTTGGAACACTGATAGGACCACCATTGCTCTTTCTAAGATGTTATGGAATCGGAATCTAATCACCTTTTCTGTACCTTTCAGAGTGTGCAAGTCAGATCCTGTGACAGACACATTGGCTCAACACTATGGGATGCTCTTTCTCCAGAGAGGAAGCATATTCTCTGATTAAATGCCCTTAGCAGGCGGGAACAGGACACAGCTGGGGTTTGAATTATACTAAATCCCATCAGATTGGAAATCAAGAGGCTGGTGCTTTTGAAGATTATAAATCTGGAAAGCAGCTGAGACGGGGCTGTGAGTCCCTGCTCAAAGCAGGTAGTACCACTTCTCTTGGCTTTCATGGCTACTTCTTTTTGGCTGATGCTTCTAGAATAACTTTAAAGACGGACACATGTGAACCGCTAAGATTTTAATGTCACAACTGCTCAATCTACTCTTTCCTTCTTCTGAAAGATATAATTAAAGTCTGGGGGGAAGACCTAATTGAGAATGTCATAGCAATGAGAAACTTGAAATCGAGTGCCAGAGTTCTTTTTTCATCTTTCTGTATTTTACCAAAAGGCATAATTATAGTTTTATGCATAAGGATAGTTTAAAGTGGGCCACACTGTTGGCTCCCTGGTACTGGTGACTTCAGATCACGAGGCTGTCTCTCATGGGCCTCTCTTGTCTTTGCGATATGTGCACAGGCCTTGCTCGATGGGACCACACTTCACCATTCATTGTGGTTGCTTCTCTGTTGCTGGCTACAGGCCTCCTCACTGATGCCATTGCTAAGATGAAGACATTCAGAGGGGCAAGTGAACCCAGCGCTTCCTCAAGCAGCCTGTGGATGCTGGAGCTGCATGTACATCTGCAGTCCTGTGTACACCGACCGAATAGGCCCCCTTGCTCTCTTAACCCGCTAATACAGACAGCCCACGTGTCTGAGCTGATGGTTGCCCTAAGTGTTTGATCTTGCGTCCATGCTTCACAAATTTTATTTACATGCTGTATTTTTCATTTTATGAACAAATCAATAACTAGACTTACTCTTTATTGTGCTGGATTAGTTTTATTTATTCCATTTGAATTTTATTAAAAAGCTGTCAAACATAAGTCTACATTTTTATCAGCAGAATATTTCCATAAAACAAGGCATGAGATGTGCTCAGCTAGACCATCCTTTCAAAATGAAACAATGTTTGATATATTCTAGACAGTTGCCCTTTTGTTTATCCATGACAACTGAAACTAACCATCAAATGGATAAAGCAATTCACATCTAGTCAAGTAATCCTTAGGGCATATGAAAACAAAGTCTTCTAAAAAAGTTATTTCTAGATGGATTTAATGTAATTCACCAATAAAGTATTCTCAGAAGCACAATAAAAATTCTACATAAAATGATATAGCCAAGGAAAGGATGACACACAGTTTGATGAAGATTCAAAATGAGCAGTTAACACTAAAAATGAGCAGTTATGCTATTCCTGTATAAAAAAGATCAAAATTACAGGGCACCAATTTGCCTCTAATTTATAAGGTGGTATGTTTATGGAACCACAAATGGTATTTACCAAAAAAACAAAACATATCCAGTGGTAAATGCTTTGTCATTTGTTTTCAGAAAAACATTGCCACTCAACACATTGTATTTATACATTTCATCATACAGCACTGAGAGTAGCTGGATTATACTCTTGAAAGATAAAGTATCTCTTGTTTTGATGGAGAATTTGATCTCCTTCATTCTATTTAAAAATTATGAGCTTCTGCCTTCTCAACTGTTTTGCTTGTACCTGCGGACATGTGGGAGGGTAGGAACATGGCCCAGGTAACAAGGGCTGTGAGAAGGCACATGTGTGCACACACACTCACACTTGCAGCCACTGTTACCTGTACGCACTTATGCATTCATATATATACAACCCCATACCCGATATTTGTAAGTAGCATCTGGGCTAGAGTTTGGATGTGTGCTGTAATTTACAGATCATTTAAGAGTGCAAGGCATACATAACCCACTTCCAGAAGTGCTGGGAAGAACAGCACGAAAAGGGTTAATGTAGAACAAATATAGGCAAATATTGTTGATTATTTTATTCAAATGTTTGGAACTTAAGCACAAAATCATCGTTAAGTTTTCACAAAATGAGGCATCTGTCACTTGAGAGGAAAAAAATATTTCAGAAATATGTTTACAGAAATGTAAAAATATTAGGCATCAAGACAGATGTGAACATATTCTGAAACTCGTCTTGTCTGTCAGTCTTCCTCCGAGCCGAAGATCTCACTGTACTTGCCCAGCATGAGTTCTGCTATCTGGTTTTGGTACACCATGTGGACTGCCATGTTGCCTCCTTCATTTTCGGCTCTCAGGAGGGTGGGGCCGAACACAATCCCTAAACTTTGTGTGGACATGAGATTTTTGGAGGCTCTGGCCACTATCCTGTGTAGAACAAGAAAGAGAGAAAGAGATATTATATTGGCATTTGAAATGAACTTGTTGCTGCTTTGGAATTATACAATGATTTCGAGTTCTGAAAAACAATTTGAAACGGTGCTATTTCATCTTCTACCCTTCCTGTTTTACTATATGAGAGGGAGCCCTACCTTGATAAACTTTTAATCCTAATTGTACCTGGTCATCATGGGTACTGAATAAATCTTTGTGAAATGAATTAATAAGTATGTTAAGCAGCAATTAATATGTTAGAATTATGAAGAATTGGCTTCTGAAACACTCATAGCCAATAGAGGATACAAGTGAGATAGCCATAAAAATTTGTTTAAGAATCCATGTACAATGATTAGAACAATATATGCACAATTCATAAAAGTAAGTAGACATAAAGACCAGGAAAATTAAGTCTTTAGTGATGTAGAGTGAATAGTGTTCTTGGCAGATGTAACAGGAAGACGTATTGTAGAGGAGACAGGTTCCGAGACATTTAGGTAAGTGGCAAAATTTTAAGTTTCTCCATTCGTTTGGACAGCCAGCTTAGCTCACACCTCAATAACACACAGAATCCTGTAGCATTTGCACAGGAAAAGAATCTCATTGCAACCGAAGAAACATTTGCTCATGGGAGGGTGGTATGGATGGCTGAGGAAATGAATACCAGTGAAACACTAGGATGCAGTTTTATTAAGGGTTGTGTCTTCCCTGTTTAACTCAAGACTCGAGGAAAATAAAGCATCTCTCTAAACATTGAGACTTAAAAAATGATTTGAACTTATTTTTAAACAAAATTCAAACCATATGGTTTTAGTGATGCCACAGAAATAAGAAGAACAGATAGGGCAGGGGCTAAGAGACAGTGTATGGCACTCCAGCATGCTGCTTGGCCAAGGGAAAGAAGGGTGCAGGGGCAGGAACCCTTTCTGACAATCTTAGGTTTTCTAGCCTCAGCGCTGATCTAAATCAGTGCAGAGTAGGTCAGACTTTGAGACTCCCTATTTGGCCTATGTAGAGCTGCACTATTTAGCATCAATAAGGCAGGAAGACTCACTTTATTTCCAACCCCTGAGAAGGTCCCAGTCACACACATGTCCCCTGACTCGCACCTGCCCATAACATAAGTCATTGCCTGTAGTGTGGATAACAAAATGTACTTACCTTATGTTGACCCAACATCAATAATAATTGACTGCTGTTTTAAGTCACTTTATTGTTTCATTTAATGCTCATAACAGCCTATAAACAGCTTCTACCTAGCCTGCTTTATGAAGGAGAAGACAGACACAGCTTTATGAAGGAGAAGACAGACATAAGACACTGGTGAAGTGTCTTATGTCATACAGAACTGACAGACTAGCTCAGGGAGCTTGGTTTCACAGTATTACTGGGGTCTGTTACCACCCTTGGGCTTAATAACTGCTCTGGTCTCTCACTTTGCCGCCCTCTCATGGTCACAAAGTCCATCCCAAGAGGTCCTTAATTCTCATCTTCTCTGTGCAGTTATGACTGACAGTCTAGCTATATCACATTTCTTGTGGGTAAAATTTGAAATAGATAGTCAAGATATTTGCCTTGCATTTTATTTTTCCTCTGCTTTAAGTGGAGAGCACTTGTACCTGTGAGCCCAGTTGGCATAGCTACAATTCTGGAAAAGATTCTTGTATTTTTAAAAGTATCAGTAAGTTATCAGAGACCTTAAATTTAAAGTTTCCTTTGAAATATATATATATATATATAGGCTACTTTGCTGCTTCACTTGCCAAGAGCCTATAAAATGATTTTACTATTTTCTTATCTGTCCTAGGGACAAATAGAGTAGTCCTTCTTCTCTTTATAGTGTCACTTTTCCTTAGCTCAAGTTCTTTCTCTAGCCTCTGCAAGACAAATAAGTCACAAAACCCATCACTAGAAAGGCAAAAGAGATTTTCATTCTTTGTTTCAAATTAATATATTTCTATGGTACTAACTCCAATGATTCCATCTTTAAAAAAAACTATTAAAGGTAAATATGGAGGGGCTGGGGATATAGCTCAGTAGCATAAGTGCCTGCTTGACAAGCTCAAGGTCCTGAGTTCAATCCCTGGTATATATTAAAAAAAAAGGAAATATGGAGAAGGATGACATAAATAATCAATTGAGTACCTTGTAAGCATGATTTTCCTTAAGAACATTAGGCATGGTAGCAGAGGTCTAAGTTGCTAAGGTTTACCTAGCAGAGAGCAGGGCTCACAGGTGATAGACACGGAGAAAGTTGAATCAAACATTCAAAACTGCTATTGAAAGTCTGGTGGTGAAACAGCTCCACAGGATAACTGGGCAAATTGAGATTAGGATTTGGAATCCAGGGATATAAGAGGGAAGAAGGAATAATGTAAAGATGGATTGAGAATTGAAGGTTGAAGACACATTTATCTATTGGACTATGGCTATAATTTTAGTTATAATTTAGAAACAATGTGATAGGAGTTATCTGGGAACTGCACCCAGAAAGGTAAGGATGGGGTCGGAGAGATAGCTTAGCAGACTAAGCACCTGCTTTGGCAAGTGCAGGGAGCAGTGTTCAATCCTCAGTCCTGCATGCCATGCTGGCCTCGCCCCTGGGACACAGTGAGCTGGTGACTGAGTCCAGGCATGGTGGCACATGCCTGTAACCCAGCACTAGAGAGGCTGAAAGCAGGAGGATCACTACAAGTCTGAGTTTCACAGTGAGACCCTTTACCAAATATATAAAATAAATAAAGTCAACAGAAACCAACCAAGATATAAAATTATTGAAAGAAAAAGAAAAAAAGAAAGGTAAGGATAGAAGTCAAAGCTGGTCTGAGAACTGATCATCAGATAGGGCACTGTGGCTATCAGAAGGTCATAAGGTGAATGGTAAGAAGAGTTCACAGCATTGGAAGGACTCACGTGGGTAGAGGGGTAGGTGTGCTCACTAGGGGTCCTGGAAAGACAGCTAGCAGGAGGCAGGTCGCAGGAGGACAGCAAGGATGGTGAATGAGGCCAGGCTTTTCTTTGTGTTTCCATATATTAATTATATTATATTATATTATATTATATTATATTATATTATATTATATTATATTCTGCTCAGCAAAAGACCTCATGTTCTAAGCCAGCGTGAGACCAAATCCAGAAGATGGAACTAGTACTGAGTTTAAGCAGAACTAGGAGTAAGAGGCTAGTGCTGCACATCCAAGCTCCCCTCTGCAGAGACCTTTTGGTCCTCGTGGTCCACAGCAGGGACTTCATGTAGGAGAGTTCTTTAATTGCATGGTGCCTCTTTCACATGGACAAATGTTCATTTTATTTTTATGCATGTACAAATATGGACTATTCACTGCACCTCCAACCTATATCTCTCTTTTTTTTTTTGCAGAACTGGAGATTGAACTCAGACTCTTGTGCTTGACAGGGAAGAGCTTATTCTGCTGAGCCATCTCCCTGGCCCCCAACCTATCTTTTGTTCCCCTTTCCTTTGATATTTTCTACTTGATTTATTTTAAGATTTATTACATTAGTTCAAATTTGCAGTATCTAATGATTACAGTTGGTACTTGGACCTTACACATTTTAATTCTTTTTGTGTTCTATTCCTATTCCTCCCAGCCTTCGCTGGTCCTCCATCTCTTGGCCCTCTTCTTATTTACAAAAGCTCCATTTCTATTTTTTTCAATTCTTTTTCCTTCCTTCCTTTTTTCCTTCTCTCTCTCTCTCTCTCTCTCTCTCTCTCTCTCTCTCTCTCTCTCTCTCTCTTCTTTTTCTCTTTCTCTTTCTCTCTCTCTTTCTCTCTCTTTCTTTCCATCCCTCTTCCTTGTCCTCTTTCCCTACCTCTTCCTCTTGGTCATCTTCCCATTTTGAAAAAGATCACTCAACTTTCTGTTATCTTTTATTTTGTTCTTTACTTATGTTTTGGGCTTCTCATTTAAGAGAAATCACGTCACATTCAAGCTTGTGTGTATGATTTAGTTAACTTTAAGAAAACTCTGTCTTATATGTGTTTTAAGAGGCTTGTTTTATGGAAAATTGAAAACATAATACATAGTTTTTCATTCTTGCTATATTTACATTATTGCAGATTGAACTTTTATAGAAGCTTGGACATTTTCTCCTAAGTTGGAAAAATCAAGTTACCTGCAATAACTTTTAGAAAAATTAGACAAAGTTAAGAAATCATGGATGTATATGTATTACACAAAATATGTGCTCCTCTTTCTTATTTCCTGTTACAAAATGTGGACTTCTGTGTACAGATACACAGGCAAGGCATTTTCTGTATGGTTTTTATTCAATCTAGTATGCAGGAAGGAGAATGCTCCAATAATAAGCTGAGGCAGGAGGACTTCCAGTCCAAGCAGAGCCTGGGGAAGCCAGAGATTTAGTAAGACACTTTCAAGAAATAATTAAACAAAAGGTTAGGAGCACGTAGTTCAGTGGGAAGGCCCAGTACCACTCAGACACACAGAGACATACACACACACACACACACACACACACACACACACACGGACACACATCCCAAACTGAAACAAAACCCAAACCCCAGTTCAACCCATCCCCAAACAGAAGACAGTCAGTTATATTTCCAGTAGCTTCACCTGCACTTGAGTTGTACTGTTGGAGAGACGAGTCTTACTGAGAAGCCACGTGTTTGCACCACAGGTTTAGCAACACCACCAGGACAGCTTTCACTAAAGGGAGTTCTGCAAACACTATATATATATATATGTATTTCATGAAAATGGCTTTTCTAGGTAAATTTTCCAAGAAAATTATGGGCCATTTTTCTTCTGGGAAAGTCACAATTACACAGAAACATAAATTCCTAGAGAAAACGTCCTACTCATCTTTAATTTGTGTTATGAACCTGGCTGGAGTAAGACATTGCTGGAGGGGGGATAGTGTCACGGGCATAGTAGACTCCTACCGTGCTGCTGGGAGGTGAGTCCAGCAGTTACTACATCCCTGGGAGTGTCTCTGGAGTGTAG